GTTGGCTGTTCTGGGGCCCCACCCCAACCATAGCCTCTTGTTCCTTCTCAGGGATTAATTATTAACTTCAATTAATTCCCAGTATTCACAACACTAATGGTCTCAGGAATGTGGGCCCAAAAGGGAGGGGTGGGGTAGACAAATTTCCTGAGGCCCTGATTCCCTTAGCCCTGGTGGCTCTTTGAGTAAGAAATCTGGAAGAGAATTCACGTCTAAATGTTTTCTGTGTGCTCTAACACAAACCAAAAACTACATACACCCAGAGATGTATTCACTCAGCCTTGTACATTCATTCACCAGAAGCCCTCCTTCCCTGAGCCCCCTCCTTTTCCACTCAAACTCAACACATACAACTCAGCAGACAGACATACCAGGCTCTCAAATACTCTGGTTTCCTAAGGATATGCACACATAAACAAATACATAACATTCCTCTTCCTCTCTCACCCTGCCCTAAAGCATACCCTGCTTCCTAAACCCAGATGGATATAGCCTCCAAAAAAACACATTTATACACTGGACAGACAGGTAAGGATAGAGAAAGAAAAGAACACATAGGTGCAGACACAGATGCAAAAGAGGAGTCATAAAGAGACCAAAAAAAAGAGATACAGCAAGTATCATAAAGGCACATAACCTAGGTAGCATGGGTGACAGAACATCCAGATAAGTCCCACTCCTACATAATAACGAACATTTATATTTGTCTACTATGTGCCAGATCTTTTGCTAAGTGCTTTTCAAATATCTCATTTGATCCTCACAACAAGCAGATGCTGTTATTATCCCCATTTTACAGATGAGGAAAATGAGTCAAACAGAGAAGAGATATGCCCAGCATCACATAGCTAGGAAGTGTCTGAAACTGGCTTTGAATTTGGTCTTTCTGACTTCTTGACTTTTTTTTTCCTATCTGAAAGAAAATTTTATTATCAGTACAGTTGAAAATAACACTACACACAAGAGTATCCAGGGCTATCTCCAGTCGTCCTGATCTATATCTGGCCACTGGGCCCAGATGGCTCTGGAGGAGAAAGTGAGATTGTTGACTTTGCACAGCCCTCCCTCACTTAAATCCAATTCACTCGCAAGTCATGGCATCACCTTCCTGATGTCATGGTCCTCTTTGAGAATGAAGGACAAACAATGACAACAACATGCAAGCTCGAGAGGCTATTGTCTTGGAGGTTGTCACTTCCTTCCACTAGGAATGCTCGGGAGAAAACAGCTGTTCTGCAGCCCCCATGCACAGAGACACTGGCCCCCTCCCTCTTTGCTGCCACCAGTCCCCATCTGACCTCTGGGCTTCCTTAATTTCCTTATCTCTCTTGGCCTAGTCAAGGACTGTCCTGGACCCCTCAAAATGAGTTCCAAGAAGACTAGAAAGAATAATGCTCATCCTTTGTAAATTAGCAGTCTTAGCCTTTTATCTTCTTTTACTTGAAATTGCTTTCTCTTTTAACTATTTGGAAGAGTAGAGATTGTTTCATCCTTTGTCTTTTTCATTGCCATCACCTAGCATGGTGCCTGGTACCACCACCTAATGGCCCCATTAGCTCTTTAGTTCAGGGTTTAAATCCCACCTCTGATTCAAGGTCACCCATTCTACCTTAACCTTGCTGGACCTCAGTTTCCTCATCTATGAAAATGAGGGAGTTGGAATAGATGGACTTGGAGGTTACTTTAGCTCTAGATTTGTGGTTCCATGTGAGGAGAAGTAGCCAGGAACTAAGCTAGAGAAACACCAAAGGGCATCTCGCCAGAAAGGGACAGAGTGGGAGGAATGCATTTAGGGAAGGAGACACAAAGACAGGGAGATACACACTTCACTCTTCTCCCCGCCTCCAAAAAAAAAGACGTTGGGTAGAAGACATAGAAGACATAGGTGGCACCGTGGATAGGGTGCTGGACCTGAAGTCAGGAATGCTGCTCTTCCTGAGTTCAAATTCAGCCTCAGACACTTAGCTGGGTGACCCTGGGCAAGTCACTTAACCCTGTTTGCCTCAGTTTCCTCACCTGTAAGATGAGCTGGAGAAGGAAATGGTAAACCACTTCAGTATCTTTGTGAAGAAAACCCCAAAAGAGGTGACGAAGACTTGGACATGACTGAAAAACAACTGAACAACAGAGAACAAAACAAGAAACACATTAGGATGGAATGGGATAATCTTACTCTTACGTTTCTCTCCCAAAGAGTGAAATTCCTTCTTCTCTCCTGTATGGGGTTCTGGATGACTCAAGGCCCATGCCCTCACCTTGGGGCTCAGGTTCCACACACAGGTCTAATATCTCCTGTCCTTTTCTGTACTCCCACCTCATCATTATTCTTATTACACTAGCCCCTTGGCCTACCAAGCATCCTGAGTTCTGGCTGCAGGCAGGAGAGATAAACTCTCAGTTTGGGCTGCTGGCCTTCCCAACAATATACCAGCTCTTGAAGTCTTTCCTCAAGCCCCATGATCTCTTTGGTATCGGGGGTTCACATTTACCAGGCCCAGATTCACCTGCCCTGCTCCCTTCAGGGTCTAGGTGTATAGTCAATCAATCAATAAATCAGTGAATAAGCATTTATTAAATGCCAACTATGTGCTACATACTAGAGAGCTTGTAGTCTATGGTAGTCCCCAACTGCTAGACTGTCTAGGAGCCAAAGGACAGCATTTTTGGGTTACAAAGGAGAACTGGGTCTAGGGGATGGACATTTGAGTTCTAGGAGAAACTGGAGGGCCAGGAAAAGGGAAGTCTAACCTCTTACTCATCCTCTCACCCAACCTGTGTTTCCCAGGAACTTGCTGGGATGGGTTAATCTTCTGGGGATAGAGTGGTGACCTCTCCCTGGGAATGGAGATCCCAGTGTTGATGGAGGCCCTGGCACACCTGAATTCCCTTGGAATCCTTACTAAGACTCAGAGCTTTATAAAGCGTCCAGATGGAGTCAGAGGGATGTCGCTGTCAAAGAACCTTGAATTCAGCACCATGGAGGTTGCTTTTGCCCTGCTGGCTGCCTTTCTGGCCTTGTCTGGAAAAGGTGAGTACTGAAGATCCCTGAATGCCCATTGTATTCCCTGGTCCTGAGGAAGCACTGAATTCTTGTATTTCTGTTTTTTCCAACAGCTCAACTGATCCAACCAAATGTCCCTGGGACTATCTCTGGAGGCCTCCCCACTGGCTCTGGAGGTGTTCCCAGTATCTTTGGAGATCTCCCCACTGGCTTTGGAGGTGTTCCCAGTATCTCTGGAGGTGTCCCCACTGGCTCTGGAGGCGTTCCCAGTATCTCTGGAGGTCTCCCCACTGGCTCTGGAGGTGTTCCCAGTATCTCT